AATTAACTGAGAACGTACGACTGAAATAACGAATCCCATCTGATATGAAGCCATTGCAGTGCCTGCCGCAAATATTGCTGAAGCAAATGCTGCGTTGCAAAAACACTTCAGACAGTCAAAAGTAAAGCACCTACTTTTGAACCAGTTGAGTACTAGTTTTAAAGTGCTTATAGGTATAGGTTTAAACAATTCTGCAAAACTTAATAAAAGCGTTGATAAAAGTTTATAGAACTACTATACCTACTAGGAAGGTATGCAATATGCGTCGCTAAAAAAAATATTTTAAAATACAGTAAATTTTTTTTGTATCTCAGTTGTATAGTGTTATATTTGCCTGTGTAATTTAGTAAAGAAATTTTATTATTTTATTTATATTAATTATGTTTATATATATTTATATTTATATTTTATGCAATTGATTTATTTTAAATTAGTTCGAAAATATTTTAAATGCCAGTTAAAACAGCATGTGAATCGAACTCGGAACACTGGCACATAATATGGATTTTATGCCACTTTATAAACCGCCTTCAATTGCCAAACCAAACATTTAAAAAATTTATTGTATTTTTATTTATTTTTTTTTTTTTCAACTCTGAAATGTCATTTTCCTAGTAGGCACTGAGGTTATATTAAAAATTCGATATATTCAATTTATCTATAACATTTGAAATAACCTTGGCATCATATAAAAATGCTATTTACTCGTATTTCTAACAATGCTAAAAAAATGTGATTATAAAAATTTCATAATATTGTAAACATTTTATTATTTTATTACTTGAAAGTTGAATAAGAAATGTTAGAGATGATCTAGAGATATTTATATGTAATAGAGTAGAGATATAAGTAATTGAAATAAGAAATGTAAGAAATAATCTAAAGATATTTATTTAAAATTCTCTGCAAGAAAAAAATTAGCATTACCAGCGGCTTTCTGGATAAATTTTTACAAGCCTCAATAAAATACTGCAAAAAACAGTCTTGACGATTGCTTAGAATATCTTAGATTTACGAGTACACGTAATGATAACTTTACTAATTAATAAATTATAGTGTATAAGAAAACTAATTTGAAATAGAAAAGTGGTAAACAATGAGAAAATTTCGCAGTCAAAAAATTTAATTTTTAATCAAGCGAGTTCTTGATCTTACCATATAAATGCTTCGAATCCGTAATATATCCATCTTCAAGGGTTTTGGAAACATTTGTTACTTTATTTATTAGTATATAATCTTTAAACAACAATTATCAAAAATTTAACCCTTTCAAACTACAGACTCCGTGTTAGCATATAAAGGAGTTTTAAATAAGCAAAATAATTTAAATCCCATCCCATCGTCCAAATGGTTTGGACAGGGAGACGGTCGATGATCGCTCTTCCTAAAGCTGTAGACAATTAAATAATTAATTGAAATATAGTAAATATTTCAACGTTTCATGCTTTATTTCGACCACACAATGGCTTAAACAGTTGCTAGATGCAAACCAATCCGAACAAAGCCCCTCGTCATGAATTCTACGAATTTTGTTAGTCTGTGTTTGAACACGTCTAGTTTGTTACTCGCTTCACTTTTTCGATTTTTATAGGCTTAATTTTGATTTCTGAACAAATAAGCCACATTTCTGGACTATGAAATAGTATATAACTCAATTATGAGTAGAATTTTAATAAATTCTTATCATTTAATGACATATATGTTTGTTACATAAATGCCGACTGTTCGAATTTAAACTCTAAATGTTTAATTACAAATTACTAAGCAATTGCAGCTCCCACTGTAATATCTGACAAAGAAATATTACTTCATTTTTGATTAAATGTGAACTTAAAATATTATAGGTAGTAATTTTAAGACCTTTTTAATAATTCATAACATCATTTACTAAAGTTAACAATGCAACACTCATACCGTATGTAAATCTCTTTATAATAAGTATCTAAATCTCTATTCATAAATTTAAATAAATTAATATGAACAGATTTATGAAACATATAAATCTTATATAAATAAGTGTTACTTTTTAATTACTACGTAATAAATAATAATATCTATTATTTATTATTAATTTATGCAAACTCCTGTATGCATGCACGCAGTCAGTGTACAACTTTTTTAATGTCAGTTACCACCACCAAAAAAATTATGAATTAAAAATTGCTGGTTAACTGCACTATAAAAAGATGTAAATATTTGTATCTATAGAGATTAATCCATTGTAGTGAATCATTTTCGCATATCATTATTAAAATTAGTGAAATCAAAAACTCATTTTATATTAGTTTTATTTATTTTTTTTTGCAAAATCGTTGTTTATATGTTATTATCAATACTTAGGAATTTCTTTTTGTAAAAGAATTCAAATTTTAGTAATTTGACATAATACTGACTGTAACTTTTTGCAAATATAAAAATTTTTCACTGAGAAAGATATAAAATGGGTTAAACTTTGCATAAATTTGCAAAAATATTCTAATAATTTAAACTAACCCCTTGGAGAGGACTTGGAGTTAAAAAATTATCCATTAATATTCATATTATTTGATTTGTTTACTTTCATAATAATGACTTTCTTATTAGATAAACTAATAAATAGAGTAGTGGCACATATTTCATTTGAGATATTTATTAACTTCTGTCGCGTCGAACTGATCTAGAATTTATTTAGTCAGTTTGATGCATTCCAAGCATTTTGATCAACTTTCTATTCCTGAATTATAAAACTTAAAAACTTTTAGATGCATAATATTTATTTATGAGTATTTCTATAATGACTAACAATATTAAATTGCAATATGAATGACCAGAAAGGCATGCGACATTTACAATTCTAACATGCAAAAAATCTTAATATTTCAGTAATCAATAAAAATTTTAAAATCAGGTACCAATTGACCATAAAGTCTATTGCTACTCAAATATTCAAGCTTATAGTGTAGTATTGGAAATATATAATAAGCATTTAATGTGTAAAAATGTCATGATATCTATTAAATAAATAGATGATATCTATTTAGCCATCGAGTTTAGATGCCCCGTAGAATATTAGCCATTTAATAAAATTGCTGATGAGTCATTTTTGAATGTTTTCTTGTGTTTATAGATGTTATGCTACAGCTGCAAGGAAGACGAAGAAGGTGTTTCACATCTACTTTTATTGTTTATATAAACAACTATAAAGTTACACTATAACAGTTACTTTAAGTAATTCTTATTTTACCGGATAGAAAGAATACAGGAATACAGAATGCATCTATAAATTTGTGTACTAATGATTATAAATTCTTCCTAGAAGAAGCGGGATGAAAAAGAGAAAAAGTAGTAACGACGAAAGTAGTAGTTAAGTTTACTTTTGAGTTATAGTGAAATGGTCTGTTATTGTTAGACGTAAGTGTTTAGCGGTAGAAACAAGTTTTCTTACCGAAGGATTAACACGAGCATGTAGTTTTGAAACTACAATATTAGTTGGTTAAACATACAGAGGATTTCCTTCTTAGGAGATCTCAGTTCGCTGTTAGCGTCTAAGGTTTCTACGGCATCAGTATAGATCACCATCTTAAGTATTACAAATTCGTAGAATCACAGTAAATAATAACTCAACTTAGCTAACATAAGTTAATACAGATACAGTTCTGCAATTCTTTTCAGTGTTATTATGAATTGGAATTGGATAGAAATATAAACATCACTTTAGTTTTCTAAAATTTATATTATTTTTCTTAATAAAAATTATGCTATAAATATTTATCGACTATGAAAACGCCTTCAATTTTATTAATCAACTGTGCATATGGAAAACCTTCAAAAGTCGCATTTGGTTTTTGATTAACTCACCACCAACTACTAGATCTCTAAGTTTTACCGCTGTTATTTTTCTTACAGGTTAAATTGACCGGATTATTTTGCTTGTTAAATTTTAGCTCATATGCTAAGGTTGTGTTATGGTTGTACCGACATGATGCGTCGAAAGGCACAAAGGCTTTCGGGACCAATCTGTGGTCAACAAATAGGGAATCACCATACTTTCATAAATTCACAAATTAGATATTTCGAAAATAAGAACATCCGTAAAACAAAGTACATAACTTCAGTTTGTGAGCGTTTACTTTATTGGGAAACCTTTTCTGTTCTATCTGCACGTATGTGACTGTGCGAATATATATGTAAAAAATGTTTCAGGCAATCTATGTTATACATTAATTGAAAGATAAAACTATTTGCATAATTGTTAGCTTTGCAAATAATTTTTGATATCTTAATCGTCAGTAATTCAATATTAATTAAATCGTATTTATTACCATAACAACATTTTAGCATTTACATTGCTTGAAATTGTGCAGAACTCTTCATATGCTTTAAAAATTGTTGCAAACATTTTAATTAATTTTTTTAATAATTTCTAAAGCATTTATTCTTTTTTCGAAAAAAAAATAAATGACTGTCGAAATTACAGATTTTGAGGAGCTGAGCCCACTTCTATGTATAAATTATATTTTTCGTTTTTATTTCGCTACTGAATTTAATGAGCAATTAACGCCCAAAACTGGATAATTTTTTTTAATAATTTAAAAAAAAAATAAAAACAGTTAATAAAATCTAAACACACCCACACCAAATACGTCAAATCGTCGACACTTTTTGTGTTTGCGATACCGCAATTTTAAAATTAAATATATTTTTTTTACTACATTTTGCAATTTATGAATTTTATGAATTATTTTCTTATTCACTTTTAATAAACAAAGCAATAATTTAAAGATTTTTTTAACGCATTTAAGAAATTAAAGTTCCAATAATTTTATTTGAAATAATTTGAGTTGCCCACAATTCGCGATTTAAAATAATTTTAATGAGAAACGAAATAATTTATTGCTTTTACTCTACGTACCGCGTGAACATAGCCGATTGCTGTTGTTGTTGTTGCTGCTGCTGCTGCTGCTGCTGCTGTTGTTGTTGTTGTTGTTGTTGTTGTTGTGACTGTTGCGTTTGCTGCTGACTTTGATTTGCAACATGTTGATGATGTGTGGTTTGTTGTTGCGTTGGTGAATGCTGTTGTTGCTGTTGTGTTTGCTGCGATTGTTGTGGATGCAAAGGCATTTGATGTTGCATCTGTTGATTTTGATGTGATCTTTGTTGTGTTTGTTGTTGATGCTGTTGTTGGTGTTGCTGTTGGTGTTGTTGCTGTTGCTGTTGTGTTAACATCGACGCATGTTGTTGATGTTGTTGCTGATGTTGTAAATGCTGCATTTGTTGTTGCAGTACGTGATGAGGATGCGCGTGGGCATGCGGATGTGGTGTATGCGGATGCGGATGTGGATGTGAATGCTGTAGTGTTTGTATATGGTGTGGATGCAAGGGATGATGATGTGTATGCACATGTGTTAATGTGTGCGTATGATGCACATCATTAATAGTGGTTGGCATCATTGTTGCTGGCGTCGCCAAACTAGACTTATCCAGCCGTTTATCGGAGTACATTTTCTATATGTTTATTTATTTTGAAGTTCTTTCGTAGGAAATACTGAAAAAAAAAATTAAAAAACAATACATCAAAAATTAATACTTGTTGGGATTAAAACTAAACAGAATAAATGAAATCGTAATATAAAGTGTAACTAAATTAAAAATTAAATTTTTCTTAATATAAAACTAATTTCAGTTATAGTTGTATTGAAAACATTTAATGTGATTTTTCAATGTTTTAAAAAAAATCGTTTTTCAACAAAGAAATTGTTGCTTATACTTATTCTTATATAACAGAAAATAATATATTTAAATAAATCCTGAAGAAAAACTACTCATCTAGCACTTTTAAACTACTTAAAAGTACATTTAGTACATTTAGTACTTTTAGTACATTTAGTAGTTTTAGTACATTTAAATGAAAAAAAGAAAACTAATTAATTAGGATATAATCAGTAATATTATATACCTTGTTATCGGATGTAACTTAATAGCTTATCAATTGTATCAAACGATCTTTGCGGTCTATGTCAAAATGGCAAGGGTCATCACTATAAGGCTTGAAATTATTTGTAGTGCATATAGTCATTCATACCAAAAAGCCTAGATGCAATTATTATAAAACTCTTTTTATCGCCTTCCTGAAAGTTGATCTAAAAAAGTGATGAGAAATTGATATGCGAAATTTACAAGAGTCCTCAAAGAAAATAATATGATTCAAGTGATGTAGGTGATTATTAAATAAGGAATGCAAGTAATTTCATAATCCTTTTTTGGCAGAATGACCATGCTGTAGTGAAAAAGATGTTTAAAACAGCAGTTCGAGGAAGAAGACGTAGAGGTACACCGTGTATCTAGTAGAGTAAACTAGTTGGGGGAGTATTAACCGCTCTTGCTGTGCGAAGCAGAAGAAAGCGCACATGCAGTAGAGGTACTTAAAGAGGAGTGCTAAGCCAAGCCGAAATTCAATAAGCAGTTATGATCAAATAAGTAAATATTTCCTATGTCATGGTCTACGTAACATCATCATTGTTTCTAATCTTTATTTTTATTTCATATTATTTCATATTTTATGTCATTTCTTGCTTTCTAAGTCAGCAACATTTAGTTCCCAGTAATACATTCGCTCAATAGAATAACCTTTCGTCTCTTGAAATATAGAAAACAAATACTCAATACAAATAATTAATTTTCATGAATAAAAAGTATTTAGTTCTGTCATTACTATGACGTTTTTATTCAAATTCTTTACAAAATATATAATTTTGCTTTTTAATAAAAAAAATTTATTTTTTAACCTTAACCAGTAGAAATTAATTCACATAAAATCACCTGCAATATTTACATATTTTTTAATATTATTCCCAGTTTCATTTGTCTACAAAATTATTCTCAAATAAAAATAAATTAAATACATAAATATTAAATAAGATAATGAAAATAATTTTAAGCTTAATACCATAACTAAATAATAGCAATAATCTTTAAATGACCACAAAATTCTAACATTAGCTCTTGGATTTGGCATGGCTGCACTTAACAATATTGGCGTCACAGTTCAAATCGCAACGAATTAAGTAAATACAAACATTTGAACATTGAACATACATAATTGTTTGCTAAATTGTCCATTTAAAAAGATTGTATAGTCTTTGAGTCTTTGGTCATATTATAAAAATAACAAGAGACAAACATTGAAAAGTTTTCACAAGCAACAAAAGACTTAAGCAACGAACTTGTTGCAAAAATTATACATTCTCGTACATTCATATAAAATTTTTAATCATTATATCTCCATAATTACCAATGTAATTATTATTATAATTATTTTATTATGCAACTTTAAGACAAACTTAAAAGTTATATTGCATACTTAAATTTTAAGTAAAATTAATGAATTGCTTCAGTGTATATATTGCGGAAGGTCGGAATACAAATAGGTGTCATTTAATATCGTGACTAAGCACATTGCTAATGAGACAAGTGGGAGTGCCAATTAAAACTCTTATAAGTCAGAGAACTCAAAAATTAATATTTTTAATAAAATATGTTACAGTAAACTGAATATTATTCATATTCCTATTTGTAATAAATGTTTGTCATAAAATGATGTAGAATTATTAACAACAAATTTGTTTAACATCTAAGTGCGGTTTCGCGTAACATATAGTATTTCGTTAAATATTAATAAATCATAGTAGTGCATATTACAAACAACAATTCTACTATAGTATATTAACATGCATAAAAAAATATTAAATTATTATATTTAAAATAATAAACTATCACAAAACATTTATAATTATCTAAGACAAGAAATATAGTCATCTCTCTGAAATATCGAATCTAATAACCGCATGTAATAATGAGCTATCATAAAAACTCTTACCCCTATCTCAGAAAAGAAAAATAGCCAATTGTCTGCAATATCGAACCTCATAACCATATCCAAAAAGTATAAAATTTCTTAAGCCATGTTAAATACCAATGAGTTACTACTAATAACGCCTATTCCATACAGATAAAATTCAAATGATTCCTAACATAATATATATAAAATATATATAAATCAATTAATATTTGAAATAATTAAGAAAAATATTCCTAATTAAGAAAAAAGTATCTTCAACTACATTAAAACATATCTCATATGTTTCTAATGTTTATTTTCTTGAAGTAATGGTCTTCTTAATAATAACTTTTCTTTAATCTTATTTTTAATGCTCATAACTAGATTATTATCAATTATTTATAGTTTTAAACATTTATTCTGCTTTTATAATTCTGTTTATATTTTAACTTGTACTCTGCTGATAATAGGACTACTTTTATTATAAAAATTTGGTAAAATTTTTATACCCTGAAATCATATTGATTCAGAAATTTTCTGGATTCAAGAATAAGTATATATGTAAAACAATAGTCTAAATAATAACTTTTAGACAAAATTCTTTTCATAATATTCTTATTAAAGTAGTTAATGTTAAACAATGAAGACCACTTAAAGTAGATATTTTTTTTCTACCACCCTACTTTTCCATTTTGTGCCAGAAACAAATATGTATCATTTCATATTACACCTTTTTATAATTCTTTAGAGTATAAACTGAACGTCTCGTATGGAGGAAGTGATATAAAAAATATGCCACAATTTTCTAAATAGTTTTTTTTTTCAAAATAACATCAACTTAAAGCCTAATATACATAATGTCGCAAAAAATAAGTTTCAATAAAGTTTCAACTTTATCCTCTGTTCCCCTCTTTATGACACTACTTTGTTCCAGTAATATACCTTGAAAGTATTGTTTTGTTAGCTATATTCTATATTTCAAAAAAGAAGTTTTTACTTAGAAAAGGTGATATTAAATTTTATCTTTTAATTTTATCTGCGCCATTGTCTTTACAACTTTTAGAAAACTATAAACAAATGGAGTCAATCAATTAATCCCAAACAAGAAGACTTTTCCCAAAGTTTTTTTTTGAAGTTATTTTCCTTAATTTTTATTGTTTATATATTGTTGCTATGATTTGTATTACTTTTTGACTTTTTAGTGGTGTAAGCTGATATTTTGAATTTTTATATTAAAATGGAAATTCAATTTTTAAAATAATTTAACACTGATTGCTTGTCTGAATGGAGTGAAAGAGCTTACTGCATAATTAATATGAATTCAATTCAGAAGGCTTACACATTTACGATATACCAATTTTAATGTACATATGACTTATGCTCTGTGTAGGCTGCATCCCATGTAGCTCTTTATAGCACATATTCTCAGAGAAAAATATATTTTTTGAATGTATTTTTTTGGGAGTGCGCACATTTTTCCAGCTCCTGGGATATGCAACTTGTATTTAAGTTGATTGTTTTTTTTCTGAGCTTAAAAAAGTATGAATTAAACGAACATGACCTTGATCCTGTTTTGTGAGAATTATCAGGAAAAATATTTCAGAGTTATTATTGACACGCTGGAGCTATTTTGCTTAATTAAAAAATACCCAGCGGTTTAACTGCAACTTATCGCACAAAAACTGCGTTTTGAAGCAAAAAAAATATGCTTTAGTATATAATTTTGAGAAGTTTAGAAACTGCCCAATCCTTAAATAGATTTTGGTGGAGAACTTTTTAATAGAGCTTTTATAAAATATAGTGTTTTGCTGTTATAGTATATCTTCTTTGTATCGTCTTAGTTTTATAATTACGCTTACGGTTGACAATACTTCTGAATACTTCTAAAGAGATTGGTTTGTTGTTGTTGTATGTTTTAAATACAGCATAAAGTTTATGTATGGTCTTAGTTCAAATTTCAATTTCATAAAAATGATTAAAAATATAATATTCAAATTCTCAGTTACTCTCCTGGCTGATATACTATATGTGAGAGAAACCTTTTTTGTGAAATAAAAAACTTTTTGCAAAACTTTTTATGTACACTGGAGAAGTATTGGATTTAGTTATCTCTGGTATAAGATAGTTATTTTTGTAAATCCGTCGGTAGTTTCATCTATTTGAAATTTTTAATAATCTTTTATTTTAAATAGTAGTTATTTTAATAATAATAAAACAAAGCATTAATAATTGTAATAAAAGCATTGAATGGTTTCCAATAAAAAGGCTTAACTGTAAACAAGTTATCAATAAATGTAATCTAAAGCCAATACACAATTAAAAAATGATGAATAATGAAAAGTCAAAATTCAAAATTCAACAAGTGAACATACCGATAAATTCATAAATAAAAAATTAAACAAAAAAATATTAAATAGAAAATCAAACAGAAAATCATACATAAATTTTACAAAAACCATACAAAAATTATACAAAAAGCTGAAAAATTCTCATAGTCAAACAAAACACCTTAAAATAGTTCAGAAAAGAAAACAGAAATAAAAATAAAAATAAAAATGCCATATTTCGTACACATCGACCACATACCGACTTGTATCTTGTATCTGAAAATATAATTGTAACAATTCGATGGACAGTGGATTGTATGCTAGATAGATACGGATGT